GTGGGCGGTTAGAAAATTTTACTACTAACAAGAGATACAAAAGTGGGTGGTAGGTATAAAAAGGTTGACTACCCCTGATCTAGTGTTTACATGTTGGGGGGGAAAAGTAAAAAACCCAAAAACATTATAATGCCATTAAAACTCAGAACTGTTTGCTACCAAGCCTCAGTAAGGTGAGGCTGGGTCTCCCCGGCTCCCCAAATGAACTAGGGAATATCAGTTGTCAATCTTTGATAAATTCATCAGCCATGGCATTTTTTAAAAAGAGAAACACTGATTAACCTTTATTTTGCTATATGGGGCATTAATAGTACTATACTAGATAGCACAACTTTTTAACACCCATTACAGTGATAGCAATAGCACTTAGACTTATATACCGCTTCACAGTGCTTTTCAACCCTGTCTAAGCAGCTTACAGAGCCAGCCTATTGCCCCCAACAATCTGGGTCCTCATTTTACCCACCTTGGAAGGATGGAAGGCTGAATCAACCTTGAGCCAGTCAGGATGGAAGGAATTGAACTCTTGGCAGTGTGAGCAGTTAGCCTGCAATACTGCATTCTAACCACTGCACCACCACAACTACCTACAGTAGTGTGAGATGATGGCACCCAGTTTGGATGAATTTCTGCGTCCCATACTCTCATATATACATAAAATCATACTAAACTTAGCTTTACTTACTTATCTCTTGCAGTCGTGTTTTCTGTTTTTCCTTCATTAGACTCCTGTGAATTGTCTCCAGTACCAAAACTTGAATCAGAAGCAGTTTCATGTTTCTGAACATCTAGTGGAACCTCAGAAGCACTGACAACATCATCGTATATTTCGTCGTTCTCATCTATCTCCTTTAGGCTATATTCAGAACCCATGTCAGCTGTACAAAAAAGAACAACACACACACACAAAGAATAATCTTTGGAGAGTTTCAGTATACAAAAGTATGTATGTATGTACATATGTATGTATGTATGTAAGCAAGTAATGTATGTATGTATGTATGTATGTATGTATGTATGTATGTATGTATGTATGTATATTACTTGCTTACTGATGCATTTGTTATGCTGGTAGAGGAGCTTTGTCCTATTATTTAAAACCTCTATAAATAAGGTAGGGAGAATGCACTATATGTAACACGTATATATTAATAGATGATGACTGTTTGGCAAATATTTGAAAATATCATTAAAGCAATGTTGCCTTCTTTAATTAAACACATAAGAGAATAAACTGGCAGGAACAAGGGGAGCAGCTTTATATAGAATTTAATATATTTAGACATTCTGTGGAAGAAAATAGAAAATTATCTAATAGTATTACCATAATCAGAGGAAAGGTCTCTGCATATATCAGCTTTCATTTTCTGGCTTCATTAATAAATTAATATTATCACATGACTTCAGCATAAATGTGCTGTATCACAGAGTTATGTTAAGACAAATACAACAATCATCTTCTTTTAACAACCCCATAACCCTCGCGGGGTGGAGTCTGGGCAACCGAATGGAGCTAGCAGAGTGTTTACTGGCCAGATGCCCTTCCTGTCACCAATGTGGAGTTTTGTTCCACAAATATATTCTCATTGTGCTGAAAGAGAGAACTATCTGCCTCTACCTAGGATTGAACTCACAGCCTCCTGATTGTGAGGCAAGAGCTCCACCTCTAGGCCACAGCACCACTCTCAGGACAAATATAACGACACTCTTAAAATCATCAAGAAGAGACAGCAATGAATAAGCTAAAGTAGGGCTACAACATTAAAAGCAAGCACATGAAGTTGAACAGAATGGTAGATCCTTCTTTCCTCCCCAAAACATATATTAAACGACTTCATTACTCTCAGAGAGCTCATGTTAAATGAGACTAGTATGTATAATTTAGTAAACTAGTTCCCAAAGAGAAAACATTACAGCCACCTACATTTGAGCGACACTTCAGATTCATCTGGAGTATCAGCGTTAACCAAAACTCTACTTTCATCTGCGACTTGCTGGATATTGTTTTGACCATGACTGGTTGGATCAAAGCTGCATGAGGTACCTGCTGCCACTGTGGTCCTGGTTAGATCAACTACATTGCCTAAGAAGCAGGTTAGGAAACAATGTGTGAATTAACTTGATTAACGTGACAATTAAACAAACACGAGAAGGGGGGGGAAAGCAGAGGGAACAATGTTAGTTAGTTAAATCAAAATGTTTTCAGTCATTTTTAGTCATATTAATAGGCCTGCAGCACTCACTTAACAGACACAATCTAATTAACATGTTTCTCTAGACTTATAAATGACTTATGTCTCTGACATTTGTCATGTCTCAAGGTATCTGTTCAAAAGAGCCTTACCTTTTCCCCATCTTGCACAAACAGAATTATGCCCTCTTCCAAAATATTGTCTACTGAAATTGCATGTGTTTTATTTAAAAACAAAACAAGGGCAACTTATTTTTTTCCTTTGAAATTATAACTGATTTATAACCACCCAGATGCAAATGTAACCAATTAATCAATGAAATCAATGTGATTAAGCAGTTACCAATTTTATTTTTTTAGAACAATTAATTGTGTATTAAATTGTGGAGCTCTGCACAAACCCAGTGAAGCACTTTTCACAGCTTTCCCCCACCTCAGCAGTCCTCTTTCTTTCCAGCGGGACTGCCGTCAAAATGAAGCAAACTGTCTTCTATGCATGCACACTCATGCTCAGATTAAGTGGAAAAGAACCTCAGAGCTACTAATAAACCTTGAAGAAATACAGCCATCCGAGGAGCAGATTGGAGATGGGATAAATATTGGTCCCTTTGGAAAGACCAGGCTATTAAACGAGAAGTAGAATTGTGAATATATTTTAATATGCAAAAATGCAAAATAAATAAAATAAAGGACACTTTTGATTTGACTGTGGAGAGGAGAAATGGAAAGAGGGAAAGACAACACAACTCTGCTGAAAATTCAAAGGAGGAAGCCAACAAATTGAGTTGCAGAGATTAGCTGTAGTTGTAGGAGGAGCTGCATCCCAAGCAGTTCCATGTTACTTTTCTTACTATTTGTAAATAAAGAGATTGGTTTTGCTTCAGCAGTTATCACCTTCCTCCACATCATTGTCAACTATTTAAGCCCTTTCCAGCCTTTACAATGGAAACAGGATGTGTGACTAGACCCCTTTCCCTGTCACTCCTATAGTTGATGGGGGTTATGTAGACTATTATTCAATCACATACTGTCTTAACCTAACCTATTGAAAGACCAGGAACATGGTGTAACGGGAACAAATCACACACCCCTTCATCTCAAATAAGGTATCAAATTATTATGTGAACATATAAGGCTTCAGTCCCCTTTTTTCATAGTATTGATCTATGTGATATTTTACTGTGACTACCTTTCTTAGGTTTTAATAAAAACACCTACTATAGCAGTGATGACAACCCTTTTTCTTACAGCGTGCCAAAACTGTGTGTGCGCGCGCTATCACATGTGCACGCATGCCCATACTAATTTAATCCTCCATGCTCCTGGTGACTGCCTGGACATGTCCCTGCCATTTTCTTGACAAAGGAAGTGGTTTTCCAATGCCTCCTCCTTAGGGCTAAGAGTGAGTGACTGACCCAAGTTAACCAGCTGGCTTTGTACCTAAGGCAAGATTAAAACTCGGAGTGCCCTGGTTTCTAGTCGAGTGCCTTCATCACTATATTTGAAATATAGCATCCAATTTTGGTTGCCATGGTGTAAAAAAGATGTTGAGACCAGTAGTGGGTTTCCAATTACTACCAGTTCGCTCGTGCGCACGACCCTTCTGTGCATGCAAAGAAGAGGGTGGGCAGAGCCTCCTGCCTCCACCACAACTAGTTTGCCCGAACATGCCCGAACCAACAGAAACCCACCTCTGGTTGAGACTCTAGAAAGAGTGCAGAGAAGATGATTAGGAGACTGGAGGCTAAAACATATGAAGAACTGTTGCAGCAATTGGGTATGTTTAGTTTAATGAAAAGAAGGACTAGGGTGACCTGATAGCAGTGTTCCAATATCTAAAGGGCTACCACTAAGAGGGGATCAAATTATTATCCAAAGCACCTAAAGGTAGAACAAGAAGCAATGGATGGAAACTAAGAAAGGAAGGAGAGAAGCAATCTAGAACAAAGGAGAAATTTCCTGACAGTTAGAACAATTAATCAGTGGAGCGGCTTGCCTCCAGAAGTTGTGGATATTCCAATATTGGAGGTTTTTTAAAGAAGAGAGTGGATAACTATTTTTTGAAATGATATAGGGCAGAGGTCCCAACCCCTGGACCATGGACCCTAACCGGGTCGCAGCATGCCAGAAACAGGGCCGCACAAACAAGCAAAGCTCCATCAATGGGATGCGAGCAGCATGCAAAACTCCGTCCCTTCTGTTCCACAGTAAACCCTCTCTCCACAGAACTGGTCCCTGGTGCCCAAAAGGTTATGCGGGGGGAGCACTAGTATAGGGTTTCCTTCTTGAGCAGTGGGTTGGACTAGAAGACCCCCAAGTTCCCTTCTGTTATCAGTCTGGCCCCAAGATAGGCTTAAGAGAGGGAACGATATTAACATAATATAATAATGCTTCATTCTATACATTTTAAAGCCCAATTCAAGTACATTAAAATGAAAGCCAGTGTTTTGGGTTAATTTAGAGTAATATAATAACAATGGTAGAAAAAAAAATAAAGGGGCAAGAAGAGTTTTGTGGCAATACTGGCAGATGTAGCTGGGTTTGTTGTTTTTTGTTTTGCTAAATGGTGCATTAAAAATACCTGTTGGAGATTGCCATTTTGAGTATTTTCCTTTGTCAATGCTGTCTGTATGAATTGATTCTGCAGATTCTGATCCTGAAAAGTAGATAGGCAACAATAGGCATTTTGGAAATACTTCCTTTTCATGGCAAAACTGCAACAATACTCAAATATTTTTTATCAAAGGTAAACTGCAATACAATTGTCAGGCTATTGTTGTTCTTGTGATACTATTTTTCTGGCAGCAAAGCAGTGAAACTGTTGGCACAGCAGTTCATTTAGTGACTGAATGGTCACTAAATGAACTGTTGTGTCAACAATTGGACTACCTATAGATTACATGTTGCCAGAAAAATAGTATCACAAGAACAATAATAATTGCAAGTTACAACAGCACTAAAAAAGTGACTTATGACTGTTTTTCACACTAACAACTGTTGCAGCATCCCCATGGTCATGCCATGAAAATTTAGACATTTGGCAACTGATTCATATTTATGACAATGGCAGTGTCTCAGCATCATGTGATCCCCTTTTGTGACTTTCTGACCAGCAAAGTCAATAGGAAAGCCAGATTCACTTAACAACCATTGTTACTAACTGCAGCAATTCACTTAGCAACTGTGGCAAGGAAGGTTGTAAAATGGAGCAAAACTGGCTGAACAAATGTCTCACTTAGTAACAGAAAGTTTGGGCTCATTTGTGGTCATGAGTCAATTGAGTAATAAGTAATAACTTCCCATCAAATTTCAATGGAAAGAATAATACAACAGGCCACTGCTTAGATCTGCATATATACTACACTGATCCTTTACAATATTCTAGATTCTTGGGAAGAACTTGATGAAGTCAGGGGTGGGTTCCAGCAGTCTCTATTGCTGGTTCGCGCATGCACAGAACCAAAAAACAAGACTAGAGACTCGTTTGGAGGCGTGGCAGGCCTCTGCCAGTTCCACTACCGGTTTGACTGAACCAGTCTGAACCGGTAGGAATCCACCAGTGGATGAAGTTCAAAACCAGCTAAAGATGTGACCACAGTGATTTCACATCTGGGGGTATGAAGTAGTAATGATTCAATGAGCCAACTCTAACCGTAAGTTAAAGAAAGCAACTGCTCTAAAGTCATTACCTTCCATTAGTAGCAAAACTGTTTTTAGATTTTGGGTACAGAATTGTGAAATACTATGTTTACCTGTATCAATGCTAGGGTCACTTTGGCCTTGCAGTTTTCTGGAAGGTGGAGAAGGTGCTTTGCGCTTTGCCCGCTTTAAAGAAGAATTAACCGAAGAGGTGCCACTGAGGTGGAGAGAACCCGATCTCTCTATTCCCACTCCTGAAAGTCCCTGGGGAAAAGAACAGAACAGAAATGAAGCTAACACAAAAACATTCAAGAATATAGCCAGACAGTAATCATTCACTGTTAAATGAACAATTGCAGGAATTGGGTATGTCTAGTTTAATGAAAAGAAGGACTAGGGAAGACATGATAGCAGTGTTCCAATATCTCAAGGGATGCCACAAAGAAGAGGGAGTCAAGCTATTCTACAAAGCAGCTGAGGGCAGGACAAAAAGCAATGGGTGGAACTAATCAAGGAGAGAAGCAACCTAGAACTAAGGAGAAATTTCCTGACAGTTAGAACAATTAATCAGTGGAACAATTTGCCTCCAGAAGTTGTGAATTCTCCAACACTGGGCGTTTTTGAGAAGATGTTAGATAACCATTTGTCTGAAGTGGTGTAGCGTTTCCTGCCTAGGCAGTGGGTTGGACTAGAAGACCTCCAGGGTCCCTTCCAACTCTGTTATTCTATTATATTCTAAATGCAAAAATCTCTTTCAACATAAATCAAGATATACATTTAGCAGCACTAATATCTCCATAAAAGATGTATGCATTTGGTCCTTCCTGAATCAATTGATTATTTCAACCAACTAAGCATTAATTTGGAGTTATGAAAACATGGATATATTTTTCCCATAAATAAACAATTAAATTCTAATAATACATTTAAGTAACTGTAACTTAATC